AAAACTTCTTCAAGTAWGAAATAAGCCAGTTACATACCGAGAACGGAGGCAATCAGCCTATACATCCCTCGGGCCTACGACCCTCGGGATGTATTAGGCTGATTGCCTCCGTTCTCGGTATGTAACTCTTACATAAAACTGTAACAATGTAATGTACCGCGTTTTATGATTTATAACTTCTACCTTAAAAAAGGGAAGTAGGCCTTGTATTTCCTGGGCGCTACACTGATAGGACAAAACGCAGGAAAATTAGTGATATACTAAGTAATGAAATTAGAAAAATTAAAGAACGCTATCCTCATTTTGAACTAGAAATTGAACTATACGTTACTCRCTTACCAGTGTTAATGAAGCAAGAAGACAATTAAAGTGATTTATATTACCGGTATTCCTACACTGTAAGTCATTTGTTTCTAGTGATGGATGGTGGCACGGAGGGGAGGGGGGAGGGCGTTTAATAGACAGGGGGCGTTTGTTAGAGAGGGGCGTTTAATACAAACTTGTAAGCATAGAGGGGGAGTTCATTAGATAGGAAGCGTTCATTAGAGAGTGGGCGTTTATTAGATCATTTACGGTAAACAGATCAGAAAATAAGTGTTTTATTTGGTTCAAATAGACACAACAACAAAGACATAAACAAAGCATATCAAATGCATAAACTGTGATCACTAGAATAGAATAGATGTATCAAATGCCTAATCAACTGCCTATCAAATCCTTATCCTTTCAAAATGAAGAAGGAATGGTCCAATTATAGGCCCTGCACCATTCACTGGCTGCTTGTGGGCAATGATAAATTGTTCTGGTAATGGTTGAAGGGGGAGGGGAAAGGGTCACAATATTTTGCCCGTCTAATATAGGGAGGGTTAGAAATGTTCACTTCCACTACTCTGGTAGATCACCTTTTTTCCAGTACCCACTTTTCAATTTCCACCTCCGCACCCCCTGCTAATTTCTGACAAGACCCTTATTTCGGTCTTTGTTCCATTTGTCTAATTGAAATTACAGTTACGATTTTTCACAAAAAAATCGACTGCCTGACGTTTAGTCCTGTAACTAAACGCCAGGCARTCGAAAAATCTCAAAGTGCCGTGCTTGTGACTATACAAACTTGTCGAACAGTAATATTTCGGTCTTTATTTCATTTCCCTACATCTACATCTACATCTACATAGTTCCAGCACTCCACACCAGAAATGTTCATAGGGTTACTAGCTGTATATTAGTATGGTCTCATTGACTAGCAAATTTTGTACGAACAATTCACCAAGCCGACCTTAATTCTGGTGAGATGAGCCCTGGCCACACCACCGGGAACTCCGTGCCCTACTCTTAGTCGAATAGTGGTGTGGGTTCTTTAACGTCCCTGCTGCTAATGAGAAGTGTAGAGAGACGAGACCTCTGGCTTTACGTCCTTTTCCGAGAAGACGAGGAACTGAGAGAGTTAAGTGTCTTGCCGAAGAACATAACGTGATCGCCCCGTCTGGGAATCGAACCCAGGCCTGTCGACCTGAAGTCCAATGCCCAAACCACTGGGCCATCACGTGTCTCACGTCTCTCTTCCCTTGTATTAATTGAAATTACAGTTGTCCCGACGATTTTTCACCAAAAAATCGACTTCCTTACGTTTAGTTCTGGGACTAAACGTCAGGCTGCCTGACACTCCGATTTTTTAAATACTAAGATTTGCTTCTTCTACGTAAGTTTTTAAATTTCCGATCTTTCGGTCAACTTGTCCATCATCAGGGCAAAATTAAATTCCAATGCGTGTGCGAGGATACAAATGTAAACAAAACACTATGGTAACATAACTGCTAAGAGCGCGCAATAGTTCAAACAATTAACATACTGCGCAAAAATGAATAATTGATGAAGATAGCTCCATCTGAGCATGAGCAGTAATCAACTTGGTTTCCCACATTCAAGCGGCACTATGTTTTAGTGTACTATGACTCTGCCATTTACACTTAGTTTAGGTTTCGGCTTTCTTTGTCATGGTAGTCGTATTTGGTACACAAATTGTCTCGGYCAAACTAGAATGCACYGGGTACGAATCACGTGACATTCACAACTTCCATGTGCTATCTTTACATGGTGTCGTCGAGGTGTCGTCTTTTTACGAGATGGAAGACATATATTCAACTTCAAACACTCTCAAATYTCTTACAAATTCACACACCATTCGCGGTATAGCCACACTAAAAGATGTCGAGCGTTGTCGAGGGCATTTTGAGAGATACCGCGAATTTATCTTGAAATTTGTCGTGAAACTTATCGTGAAATTCGAACCAATCTTATAAAAAGTGAACTCTATACTAACTGATYCTACAGGCTCTGAAAATACAAAGGGCTTCTCTAAGGAATGCGAACAGAATTTACTGAGGAAAAACCGACGATTGCAACTATTTTATTTAGCAGAGAGGATAAAAGACTCTGTCTTTATAGCCTGCCACGTGACTATCAAAGTGAGGAGAGCTTGACAAAGACTATCAATTCTTCCTTAATGCTAACTACATTGCTTCTGTTATTATTTTTCATTCAAGGAAATATTTTTTGCTTTACTCTTATGATAGTATTGATATTAACTTTATTAGGGTTCAATAAAGTCCAATTCTTCGATAACTACACTCAAAATATTGTCACTTCATCGTTTAGTGATTGTGATATCTTAGATAAAACTATTTGTATGACTGTTTATGGTGTATACAATGATGCAGAAGTTACAATAAACATTACAAGTACTACAAGATCTCGTTATTCAAGGTTTGTTTATTATAATTATCGACATGTACGTTGTAGTCGTAGTCGAGAGCCCAGTAGGATACCAAAACGATTTCTAAGACGCACATAACAAAAGTAGAAAGCTAAGATGGGTTGTTTATCATCGAATCTGTCAAAAGAGGTTTATCTTAATTTTGTCCGCCTTACATGTAAAATGACATAATAAGATTGTTGTTATTGTCTTGATATTTGTTCATGTTCTTTTAATAAAACGAAGTTGGCGTAGACACAGTTATTTTTTCAATTTCTCTAAATGACTTTTAAGTTATTAAAATTGTGATATTTATATTACTGCATATCATGAATTGTCTATCAAACTAGCTACCTATCTTATCAAAAGCGAGTTTTATAGTAAATAATAATGGCAAACACGCAAGTGTAAACGAGCCTTACAAATTCACTACTATTTTATCAACAAGAACCCCGAGTTTACGCAGTTATGCGTCTAGTTAACATTTAAACTCGAAACCTAGTCAAGTTCTATGATGAGAGTCTAAACAGAGAACGTTTCTAGTGTTGGGCACACATCGAGTGCCTGTAGATCAGTTACAACATTGATGTTTTATGCATGAGTGTTAAAACTAACTTTCTAAAACTCATRAATTATTCATTAGACATTCTACCAATGAGCATTCAACTATGGGTCACATGACAGAACCTATAACTCAAGTTAAAAAAACTGATTAATTAAACATGAGATTTATAACTTACTGATTCAGTTACTTATAACACTCATGCATAAAACATCAGTGTTGTAACTGATTTACAGACACTTGATGTGTGCCCAACACTAGAAATGTTCTCAGTTTTAGACTCTCATCATAGAGCTTTACTAGGTTTCAAGTTGAAATGTACTTATTGCAGAGTCATAGTAGACTAAAACATAGTGGCGCTCGGATGTGGGAAACCAAGTTGATTACTGCTCGTGCTCAGATGGAGCTATCTTCATCAATTATTCATTTTTGATATTTTTTTTTATTTATTTCATGTTAAACTAAAATATTGTAGTTTCTTAGTTCGTGTTATTGTAGTTTCTAGCTCGTAGTTCGTGTTTTAAATATCACGAATCGGTTATAAAACTCATGCTGATAGACGACGTGCGAATTTTGCCTCAATAGTCACACACAAAGGCTATCAATCAGCGTTTATAATTCTGTCATGTGACCCATAGTTGAATGCTCATTGGAAGATGTCTAATGAATAATTCATG